TCTTTTGGTGTTCAAGAGAATATTAGCAAAGAGGAAAAATAAAGAATATAAACAGACCGTCAAAACTTTTCACTATAAGAAAAATTGTTACAATCATATAGAATTTTACTCACCAACCCAATCCCCAAGTATTGCAAAGAAAATAAATTATAGCTTTATCAATCTACTTTTCTATCCTTTGTAAGAAAAGTCTTAAAATGCTAGGCTCACAATATTTTTCTCTCCGATCAACTCTCAGGCCACATCTAAAATAATGAAATACATCCACTATTTATAAGATCAGTAACCGAATAGAAGATTTTAATTTAAACTCAAACAAGGATTCCTCATGTGCAAGACTCCAAAATCAACGGTAAATTGGAGACCAAATTCTGCAATTATTCTACTCTCAACTTTAATTAGAAGTCTTTCATACAATTATTTGCAAGAGAAGTCCTCCAACTTTTGACTTTTGAAGCAATTACTCAACAATCTCCACCTTGTCGAAAATGGGTCAAAATCTCATCATCTCTTCTACAACTTTTAATTATAATACTTTGAAAAAATAGGTAAACCTTTGACACACTTTAATGATCTCATACTCCACCATATGAGTATAACTACTCAATATTATCCGCGAACTCCAAGCATTTCATAGGATATATGTCAAAACAAACCTACTGATAGTTACAGTGCAACTCTCCCACTGACTTTCCTAGAGAGCTCATCAGCCATCGATATTACAACACCACCACATACCTACACACCTTTCATCAAATGTCAATCAATTCTATGTATAGATATGCTAACCCGCGCTAGTAAGAACACATCCTCTATTATGGCAATTGGCAACATGCCATGAGGATGTTCCCGTCTTACTTTGCAGCACCTCATACGCGTCATCTTCCCCTCATGAGAGATGCACTATTCGACCTGAAGCAGTTAGCCGGCCCTACTCTACCTTTTGGACAATTTCTCCTTACGTGACAAGTTTGACCATAGTTCCAACAAGTTGCTTTCTTCATCATGGATTTGCCCTTCTTGCCAGAACTCTTGGTTGGGTTCCCCTTTAAAGCCTTGTATGTTCTAGCTTGAATCAATAAATTCCTAACTTGTACTTACCATAACCCAAAATTGATTCTTGCGTCAAATTTCTCCACATCATATTTCAACGATAACATATTTTTCTATTGCTTCAATACTCTGAACCATCTAACGTTTTGATACCACTTATTGGGAATTTTATGCAAATTCCCTTTATTTCTATTTATCCATAGGATTTTTTGTTGTTCAAAAGAATATTAGCAAACAGGTAAAGAATATAATGCACAAATTTAACGGATCGTCGATGCTTTTCACTATATGAAAAATTGTTACAATCATATAGAATTTCACTCACCAACCTAATCCCCAAGTATTATAAAGAAAAATAAACTCGAACTTTACTACATCTACTTATCTACCCTTTGTACGAAAAGTTTTAAGTTGCTAAACTCACGATATTTTTCTCTTAGATCAACTCTCAGGTCACACCCAAAATAATAAAATACATCCACTATTTATAGAATCAATAACCAAGTAGAAGAGTTTAATTTATACTCAAACAAGAACTCCTTTTAACTCAAACAAGGATTCCTTCATGTACAAGACTCCAAAGCAGGATGTAAATCGGATACCAAATTCTGCAAGAATTCTATTCTTGATTTTAATTAGAAATCTTCCATACAATCATTACCTTTTATTATTTGCAATAGAAATCCTCCAACTTTTAACTTTTTAGTCAATTACCCAACATTTATTAACACTCTTTAGTAATTTATTTATGTTTCTTTGAAAATGATTTTTTGAATTGATTTTCATGTTATTTTCTCTTGGCAGCGGTCCAATATTTTTCTTACAAAAGATCATGATGTTCATCTCGGTAAGTTTGCAGTAATTTTCTTTTATGGACTTTAAATAGCATTCTTTCCCGATTTGAATAAATCGTCTTCATGATTTTTCACTTTTGCGAGGGATTTCAAACTTGCTAAAACTCTTGAACGCAGGTGATTTGGCTTCTTCAATACATGCTTTTAGTATGTATTATCTGCACCCTTGTTTTCTGATGAAGTTAAATAATACTTGAGAGACAAGATACACTGTTTCTTCTTGCCAGACTTTAATAAAACTTTAATAATTAAATTGTCAAACATGAGTGTAACGTCTTTTAGAAAATTATGCGGTCCTTTTTTTTCTTACCCAGGTAGTTGGTACTCCCAATTACATGTGAACTTATTAATGTTCCTTGTGGTTTTGAATTTAATACTTAGTCCCTTGTTATGTCTATCATATAAAGTTGCTAAATAATTTACTTTCTTCCATTACTTAGTGGCCCTATTGTTTCTTTCACATATGTTCTATTAACCAAATTTAATTGTCATTCTTGCAGATTTTCCCCAAGGCAATATTAACTTCAGTACATTTTGCCACCAAATTTAACGAGATATACAATTGCCCTCTCTAAATTTATTAGCATATATAATGAATTACTCATGATGTTTTAAATGTGAAAAATCAATGATTTGTTCATTTATACTGAATATATTAGGGTCTATGTTAAAAGGTTCATCTTTAGCACGTGTTTTTCACTGTGAAACCATATGAAGCACTACACATTACCCAGAAACCCATGCCATTTATGCTCTTTACAACTTTTTAACCATTTGCCTAATTCAACTACATTTTTTTTTTTTTTACCACAGTCAATATGAGAAACTTATTTATAGATTATAAGATTAAAATTGCATTAAAAAAGAATCAAAATACTATTAAACACGTCATTAAAAAAAGCATCGAATAACTAGTATGTATATAATGCTTCTTGATTTTTATGTTCTTTTAAGATCTTGCTCGAAACAAATATTGACCATTTGTACATATGGCCAAGTAAAGGAGATCAATATCAAACTTTATATTATTAAAATTAGTTAGCGATATAAGACGATCTTAAGTAATACATCACATTTATTATGATGGCCACTCAATGAACCTTCTCAAAAATTAAGTACTATATATATACAAACAGAATTGTTTTACCAACTATTTCCACAAGCTGGAAATATAAATAACTAGCAACTTCAAGAGTTTCCTTGTTGGGTTGAAGTTTCATCTGGCCCAATTTCCACTAAACGTCAAATGCAAGTCATGTACTTTATCTCTAATATTTGACAAATTGATACAAATGTTGCACCTGTAAAATTTGATGAGAAAATAAATAAATTAATGTGTAGATAAAATTATTGAAAGTTGATTTATCGCATAATTAATTTTTACTATACTCAAATAATCTAAAGATAATTTCGCCCTCTTTCTAGATTGGACAATTCAAACACTCATAGTTGCAAAGGAAATAGCTTCCTTTCACCTCTAACATTTGAAGAATCTAATATTTGGCACAGCTAATCCTTAATTTGAGGTACTGTAAAATGTTTATCATATCCTCATTTCTGTATGCTCCAAGATATTAATGATAGTTCAAATAATGATAATGTTTTTCTTATGATAGTAATATAATACTTACAAGAGTAAAGTTGAACAAGATTCAAATAGAATTAAGATATGATAGGGCAATGAATGAGTTTCAATTCACATTGTTGTGGATGGTTGATCTCCTTCATCGATGCCTAAAAACAACAAAAATTTTTGTAAAATCCATAAGCTTGTTGAAGAAATTTATAATAGTAATTATGTCTATCTTAAATTAATATATATGTGTATATATATATGATAAATAATAAACAATACTAATGAAAAAAAGGTCATTTAACTGAATAATACTTACAAAAATCATTTAACCTAAAAATCTTTGTTCCACAAAATCACAGAACACTCTCGATAGGCTCTTTATCTACTGGCAACAATAACTAATTAAACCCACATTGTAATTAATCAAAATAAATGTAAAATACTCAAAGTTGAAATATACTTACAGAAAGACCAATGTTAATAGCCTCTGAAATCCTCATCTATACTTTCATCTAGAAAATATGTGACAAATCTAATACCTGAAATAATTAAGTTGAAGTTACAATGACATTGTAAATTGTTTGTTTTTATCTTACCATTCTTTCTTTTTGTGTACTCCAAAGATAGTTCAAATCATGCTAATATTTATGTAATGATAAGAACACTTACAAGAGTAAAGTTTTCGAAGATCCAAAGAGAATTAGGAATTGTTGGGACAATAAATGAGTATCAAGTTGTTGTTGGATGGATGCTCTTCCTCATCAAAACCTAATAAAATTTATACAAAATCCATAAGGCACTCGAAGCAATTCATAACAGTAACTATTTTAGCACATCAGCTAACCTAGAAGTTTAAGAAAAAAAGGGATAATATAATTAATTGAAAAATAAAGTCATTTAACCGAATATTTAGGTAAACATTTAATCGAGAAATCCTTGTTATTTGAGAAAATTATTGGACAACCTCATGCAAACTCTTTTTATCTATTAGTAACAGAAATTAATTAAACCTACCCTGTAGTAATATTTAGAACATACATTAACCAAAATTAATGAACAATAAAGTCAATATTCAAAACTTAAATATACTTACAAGAACACCAAACACACTAATCTTCAAAATTCCACATGAATATGAGAAATCTTTGGCCACTCAGAACCAGGACCGCTTTCTTTCGTGCACCTCTTTCTCAACAACGGACATAACCGAATATTTAATCGTTTTAATTTGATGAGTCGTTGCATAGCTTCTTTAGAGGGCAAATGCCTAAGCTTTTCACAAAACTCTAGTTTTGATACTTCAAGAAATGAAAAATTCCTAAACCAATTGGGCAATTCTTCCATCTCAAAATCACATATTGTCAAATCTTTTAGGAAAGTAACATGTTGAAGCTGAACTGGTAGAGAGACCCAACCCACTTGACCTTGTAAGTATAATTTCTCCAGGGATTTTACGTGCTTGATATCATCGAGAAAATCTTGAAATGCATTGAACTGGACTGAATTCGAGTATTTCCCAATCCACAATTCTATTAAACTGTTAAGGCATCCATTCCCACTCAATTTAGGAAATGAAGCGAGACTGGGCATTTCGCCACCTCTAGAGTCTGTAGAGATCCCATCCCACTCAATTCAGGAAGCATAGTGAGATCTGGGCATTCACGTACAGATAGATGCTTTAAAGACTTACTACACTCTAGCATTTCGTTTGGCAGGTTGCACAGCTCATGGCAATTACGAATTTCCAACTTCTCAAGGGAAATTTATTTCAGATTTCCACATGTATGTATTTCTAATTTCTCAAGAGACTGGAGGCTACCAAGGCCATAAGGTAATTCCCTCAATTTAGGACAATTTCTAATATTCATCCTTTTAAGAGAAGCTCCACTGCCCCATAAATGGGGAACATGAACTAACTTGCTACAAAAATCTATTTTCAAATATTCAAGGCCAGGAAATACCTGTGTTCCGCTCATTTGTGCTTCTTCCCACTCTGTTAGGTTCGGCATATAAGATATTGTAAAATTTTTAAGTGACGAGAATGATATTCTTGTCTCTTGGCCATCGTTGCTGCTAGTTGAGCTGCAATCACTCTCTCCAAAAAATGATGATCTTATCGATGTTACTTTAACAAGACCCCAAATGCATAGATACATGAGGAGTGGTAGATGGCCTAGCATTGGGATTTCTTCAAATTTGCAATCTATAATTTTGATCTTCATCAATTGATCAAATATCACCAGATGGCCACCAATGCCTTTATATATTCCCATATTTCTAGTCCAAAATGGGAAGTTTTTACCTCGAAATCCTTCAATTGTTAGTCCTTTTAGCTGTTCATGAGGTTGCAGCCCTTCAAGTACACTCTCATCGTTGATCTTATTTTTTCTGAAAGCCATTGAGTTTCTCCAATCAAAGCAAAACTCATAAATGTTTAACTTTCCAGCCATATCTGCATGCTCAGCTTCTGTTTTGCACCTCACCAATTCCAGATTCTCTATTCATAGTTCGACCTTTAATTTCTTCAACTTTCCCAGCTCATCAATTCGACAACCTTCCTTATCACTCACACGAAATAACGACAATGTTTGAAGGCAAGATAAACTTCCGATTTTATGTGGCATCTCGAAATCATCGTGAACATCATCAAAATAGAGATGCTTTAAACAAATCAAGAATTGCAGATCTCTAGGAAGCCTTTGAAGCTCTGTGTACTTGCTTAGAATCCTCAAGGTTTGCAAATTGTAGAGCTTGCAAATAGATTCTGGCAAAGCAGGGAGATCATCATTGTAGGACATATCAAGATAGCTCAAATGTTTCAACGTGCCAATTGATGTTGGCAATTCTTTAATATTTGCATCACATAGCTTTAGAGAATGCAAATGCTTGAAGTACGGCAAAATACCATCTGGTACGCTGCTTTTCAAGATCAATATGTGGAGATAACATGCTCTCTCTTTTATGTCCTTGACTGTTTCCTCTTCAATTGATTCTATTGCAAGGTGTCTAACTTGAAGAATGTCATCAGCAGTGCGACCCTCCATATTCATGAAACTTTCTGATTTCGAAACTGAACATGCAAGATCATAGACAAGATCGTGCATCTTGTAGCTTATGATATTGCCATACTGGTCCTTCATAGGCTCTTGGAAGAAGTAGTTTTACAACAAAATATTAAAAAATTTATTGCCCGTAGTCTCCATCTCACTTTTTTTATCTTTCGGAAGAAATCTTTCTACCATCCAGAGCTGGATTAAGCGTTCTCTATCCATGACCGAATCCTTGATAAATATTGAACAATAGGCAAAACATTTTTTCCGTGATGAAGAAGGTAAGCGATCGTAACTTACCTTTAAGACTTGCAACACACCCTTCTCACCCTCTTCAAGATTTGAAAGCTCATATTGTAGAACTGAATCCCACTCTTCTATTTCCTTTCCTTGCAAAACTCTTCCAATCACATTTGCTGATAGAGGTAAACCTCTACATTTGCGGGCAATCTCCAATCCAGTGATCGCAAATTGTTCTGGTACTTCTTTATCTTGAAATGCCATTGTTCTGGTTATCGACCAGCAATCGCCTTCTGTCAATGACCTCAAGCAACATGGATGATCGCAAGTGTTCACAATAGATGCCACCTTTTCCTTACGTGTGGTGACGATAATGAAATTTCCATTTCTGAAGCTAGCTCCCACTAGTGTTTTTTTTGAATTCATCCCAATCTTTTGTTTCTTCATTCCATAAATCATCGAGAACAAGCAAGTATCTTTTGTCTTTTAATTTTTCTGCAATCTTTTTGTTGGATTTTTTGATTCCCAATAATCCGGGCGATGATTTAAAGCAGTTGTCGGATTATTTATCGACACCATGGACTTAGCTCGGCTCAAAGATGAACTATACTTTTGGATGGTTCGGGTTTGGGCTGGATGATTATTTGGTTAGTTGGACCATTTAGTGATTAATATAGAGTTGAATATTGGCTCATTAGTTTAGGTTAATTGGTAGCCCACTTGGAGAACCCTATACCCAATTAGAGTGATCTAAACTAACCTATATATATGTACTTATCTCCCAGCCGTTTTTGGTGTGTGTGTGTGTGTGTTGTAGCAATGGAGAGGAGAGTTGAGAGAAGAGAGGCAATCAAGAGAAAGGGAAGCCATGTGAGGTTGTGAGTGAGATTCAACCAGTGTGATATATTCTTCTTCCTCTTCATATCTTTGTGGATTTCTAACACCACCACCCTTCTCCTTTGTGGGGTTAGAGAGAGAGAGAGTAGTCCAAAGTGAAGGCGAAAGTCTCGGGTCGAGCCAAGGTAAATCGGTGTTCGTTTGATTGTTTTATGAGCCCGGGATCAAGATTTATAGAGGGATTTCCGCTACAAACGGTATTAGAGCTTGTGTTATTGATAAATCTGTGATTTTTGGAGCTGAAAAATGGGTTGGAATTGACTAGAAATCGGACAGAAAAACAGGCAGAAAAACTAGACAGTTTTCTGGGATTTTTTCAAATTTCTGCCGAATCTGTTTTGGCGTTTTTTGGTGAAACCAAAAGGAGTTTGGCAAAACGGACACCACCATTGGACTTTACAGCTGGAGACGGTTCAGAAAGGTCGGGGCGTCACCAGCGCGTCGCCGACTGGCTCCGGCGCGTGGGAACTCCAGCGAGGCGTGAGTAGGAATCTGGGGATGCTGTCTTCAGACAGAATGCTGCTAGTGACGATACGGACTCTACGGTGTTGTCGAATTTCAGTTTTGAGCAATGCAGTGAAAGGTGAACGATTTTGCCCTTGGACATTCAGGTGCCGGGTGCTGTTTTTGTGTTGCTGTAATTATTGGTGACTTTAGGACAAACAGTGATGATTCTAAAGTGGTCAATTCACGTCTCTCGATATTTACGGACCTTCAGACGTGGTCCGCTCGGTATCTCTTTGCTTTTTATTATTGTAGTTAAAATAAATGTGTAGGTTAATTATTTATTTTTTGGCATTGGAAGTCATCGTATGGGGTGACGTTAGGTTTGGGGTTTAGGTTAATTATTTATTTTTTCGCATTGAAAGTCATCGTGTGGGGTAACGTTAGGTTTGGGGTAACCATTGCTTGTTGCTAGACCTAGGAATTACATGTTAATTAATTGCCTTAAATTCCATGTGAATTTGTCACCAATTTTTCTATACCGATAGAATTGCATGTGACCTTAGGAAAAATTACTTAACTATTTTGTGTGAATTATGTGTCAGTACTTTACTTGTGGTCATTATTTGGTATTATTGACATGTATAGGTCTAAGACAAGTGCGAAAAATAAAATATGTTTTAACTGTGATAAAATTTGGGCATAGTTGAAAGAGATTGTCCTAAGATGATAATAAAAGGAAAGATGAGGATAGAGACGAGGTGAATATGACTTTAGGATCGAGTAGTGATCCTAGTGAGATTTATTGAGAATAAACCTAGTTACTGCATGTGCATCTGTGTATAATCCTTTCTGCATGTATGTGATCATTTGATTCTGTTGAAATGTTGATGTTATACTTTCAATATGTTTGATGTGTGTAATTGCATGAATAAGAGTGACATATTACTTTGTGTAATATGTTTACATGAATAGTGGGTTAAGTTTTGTGGCGTACTCTATTTGCTCTATGAGTGGTGAGAGAGTGTGGTAGTGAGAAGAAAGTTGGGCAGCCATTTCTCTCCTTTATCTTTGTGAGCCTATGTGGTTTGTGAGATTATGTAAGGCAGCCATGTTAGGGTTATATTCTTCCTCTTTGTGAGCCTTCTTTGTGAGTGTTGTGAAGTAACCGACTCTTTCTTCGATTTTTCTTTGTGAGTGCCACCTTCGCCATTTTCTTTGTGGATTTTTTGGAGCTTTGGTAATTGGAGTAACATTTGTGGTCACCGAAAGGTGTTGTTTTGCCGCAATGAGTTTGTGATGCATTAGCAGTGAGTTGGATGTCTTTTGGTAAGGTGGAGTATAGATATCTAGGGATACATGGTGATTTGTACCTGGGAATGTGGAGTGTGACATTTGGATCACGAGTGGAGATGTGTGTAGAATCCTTTATCTGTGAAAGAGACCCTGTACAGGTGGAGTGCGAGAGAGGCACTTCTATCACTTCTGTAAGGTGGAGTCCCATTATCCACGTAGGTTGGGAGAAGTGATGCGGTGATAGAGGATTATCCCGAGAGCTTGGGATCTATTGTAACTTTCCAGTTAGATATGAGTTAAGTAATTGGTTTAGTGAGCATTGTGGGCGATGAGAGGAGATATGTGTTCTCGAGGTGTAAGCAACACGGAATGGGATAGGATAAGTGTGGTAAGATCTTTTCTTAGGGTCATTTATACATTTGTTGCATATGTGCATGACCATGTGTTGATTAACTAGGTGTTAATCTGTGGTTCTGTGTGAATGTGGTTTTGAAAAGATCTGTGTGTGTTATCCTATATATCTTCATCGCATGATTGTTTGTTCAATGTGAATACTTGTTTCTATTTGGGTGTTCTTGACCTTAGCCCTGGTGAGTACATGGAGTAAGTATGATATGTGTTTCGGTTCGAAACACGAGGTAAGGTATGTGACTCCAATTTTATTGGATTACCTTGATTGTGCAAGTATAAACTGTGTGTTTTGGTTGCTTGCAGATTATTGGGCATTAAGGTGGAGATTGTTGGGTTTTTTTATACCCAAAAATCCGGACGATGATTTAAAACAGTTGTCGGATTATTTATCGACACCATGGACTTGGCTCGGCTCGGAGATGAACTACACTTTTGGATGGTTCGGGTTTGGGATGGATGATTATTTGGTTAGTTGGACCATTTAGTGACTAATATGGAGTTGAATATTGGCTCATTAGTTTAGGTTAATTAGTAGCCCACTTAGTAAACCCTAGGCCCAATTAGAGTGACCTAAACTAACCTAAAAATATTTATTTATCTCCCAGCCATTTTTGGGGTGTGTGTGTGTTGTAGCAATGGAGAGGAGAGTTGAGAGAAGAGAGGCAACCGAGAGAGAGGGAGCCATGTGAGGTTGTGAGTGAGATTCAACCATTGTGATATTTTCTTCTTCCTCTTCATACTTTTGTGGATTGCTAATTCCACCACCATTCTCCTTTGTGGGGTTAGAGAGAAAGAGAGCAGTCCAAAGTGAAGGCGAAAGTCTCGGGTTAAGTCGAGGTAAATCGGTGTTCGTTTCATTGTTTTCTGAGCCCGGAATCAAGATTTATAGAGGGATTTCCGCTACACTTTTGAACAACAGCTTCCTTGCTAACCCCCATCAAATTTTTCGATCAATAATAATTCCAGGATCCTTTTGCAAAGCGTCAGCTGATCAAAATTTTCTAATACACAAACCCAAATCGTTTTGTCGAAATGGTTTCCTGTACGATGGTTTTCGAAGATCTTGCATGCCAAAGTCGTCTTACCAAGCCCTCCCATTCCGACTATGGAAAGGACTGAAAGGACATTATTGATCGAGCTGGTTATCATTTCCAGAATTTTTGATTCATCACTTTGTCTTCCAATGACAATTGGATCAACTGTGAAGCTGTTAGTTTCCATGACCAGAGGCTTTGAACAAGGATGATCCATAACTCTGTTGAGACCAAGGCTATCAGCTTCGTTGTTTATCCTCTTGAAATTTTCATTTATGCTCTTGATCTTGTGTGACATCTTCCAATGAAAAGTGATTTTGTGCGCCATCTTTTGCAGAAATGTCATAATGAAAGGAAAGTTTAAGCACCCAATTTTGTCCTCTGTCTCTATTGTACGACGTAAATCTTTATATTTGATCTCGTCCAAAACGTTGTCGGCATCATAGGCAGCATCTTTGAGGCCTTTAAGCCAGCTTTCAATAGCCTTCTCAGTGATTTCGCGCTTCTTAGCATCGTCCAAAACTTCGCAGATCTTTTCGAAATAGTTTTTCAAATTTTCAAATTCTTTCTCAAAGCCCCGCAAGAGTTTGAATTCTTCAACAGCTACCGGAAACAAATTCTGAAGTATGGTTTTTACACCGTCAATAGCCACAGCTTTCATTTTTTCTCACTTTGGAAATTTAGTATGTGTGATTGATTAAAGGTTGAACCCCAACCTTGAGGGTCCCCACTGCCCCGCTCCTAGAGCATCGTGAGGGAGGTAAATCGCGGGATGTGCTCCAACAGGTCAGGGAACAAGAGCTTGCAAATTCGAGGAGTTTGTGGTGTAAATGATTGTTTTCCTCTGCTTAAGAAAGGTACACTTAATTATTGATCAATCCTTTAGTCAAAGTCTTTTTACAACCTACTTGCTTAAAATTTAAATTTTAAACTAATTAAAGTTCACATTCAATATTAAATACATATTTCATGGGTTATATAACTTTTCTATCACACATTTCTTCAATTTTTATCAAATTCTTCTCAAAATCAAATTTTAATCCCACCAAACATAAACTTGCCCACATTTATCATTAATTGCACCGTATTTTAATTGCAAAGAAGATTTTAAAATTTTCTTGCTTTTTCGTACTAGTTTATGTTTTGAGTTTCACAGAATACTTAAAAGATAACATATTTTCAGATTGTCGGTGCCAAAATGCTGCAAAGATTTCAGTGAGTAACTCCAACATTTTGAAAAGTTTAGTAGTCAAAACCCAATATTTAAATTGTATTGAGCAATCGAAGATGTCAACTTAATTTCTAACTAAGGACAATTCATACCTACTTATTTATTGATAATTGAATTCTACATTTCTCTTTCTACCGACTAAATCATATGCCTCATAATTCAAATTCCAATTCCAATTCCAATTCCAAAACAAGAAAAATGTCTATGAAATGCCCATGTCTGTGGAGAAGTTAATATGAAATCATGTGAAGATAGTTCAAATCGTTCTAATATTTATGTAATGATAAGAAAACTTACAATAGTAAAGTTGACGAAGATCCAAATAGAATTAGGAATTGATAGGACAATAAATGAGTATCAAGTTGTTGAGGGTGGATGCTCTTCTTCATCACAACCTAATAAAATTTATACAAATTCCATAAGGCACTCGAAGCAATTCATAACTATAACTATTTTAGCACACTAGCTAACTTAAGAAAGGATAATATAATTAATTGAAAAATAAAGTCATTTAACTGAATACTTTGGTAAACATTTAATCGAGAAATCTTTGTTATTTGACAAAATTAAAGGACAACCTCATGCAAACTCTTTTTATCTATTAGTAACAGAAATCAATTAAAACCACCCTGTAGCAATATTTAGAACATACACTAACCAAAATTAATAAACAATAAAGTCAATATTCAAACTTTAAATATACTTACAGGAACACCAAACTTCACAGATCTTTTATTATCAGATGGGGAATATGAGAAATTTTTGGCCACTCAGAATCAGGACCGCTTTTTACCCTGCATCTCTCCTCCAATATCGGACAAAACCAAATATTTAATAGTTCTAATTTGGTGAGCCGTTGCATAACTTCTTTAGAGGGCAGGTACTTAAGCTCTCCACAGTACCGTACTCCTAGACTTTCAAGAGATGACAAATTTCCAATCCAATCAGGCAAGGCTTCCATTTCAAATTCATATATTAACAATTCTTTTAGGGAACTGAGATGTTGAAGCTGATCTAGTTGAGAGACCCAATCTCCCGAACCATATAAGACTACTCTTTCAAGGGATTTCATGCGTTTGATGCCGTTGATAAAAGATTGAAATGAATGTAATTCCATTGAATTTGGGAAGAACCCAATGGACAATTCAATTAAGCTGTTAAGGCATCCCATCCTACTCAATTCTGGAAAGGAAGTGCATGACTTTAAACATAGTTCCTGTAGAGATTTCATCCCACTCATTTCAGGAAATGAAGTGATATTTTTACATCCACCCACAACTAGAGACTGTAGAGAACCCATCCCACTCATTTCAGGAAGTGAAGTGAGATTATGGCAGTGTTCCACACATAAAGTCCGTAGAGACGTACATGAAAATAATTGTGTCCACTGCTTTTGGATTTCTTAATGGATGATAATATAAAAGTACAGTTAAAGAGTTATTTAAATAATTGTACAATACTTCTAAATTTTTTAATGGATGATTATATATACACCACATTTATAGTTAATTGCATTATATTTTTATTGTAATGAAAGTTTTCAATTTTGCTCATTTTTGTTTTCGAATTTACTCGTGCACTAACTTCCAAGTAGAAAGGGTCCCAATGTCTCACTAAAGACCATTTGATTTCCAACTCAATTATTTAATTTGTATTTCTATCTACCTAATAAATTACACTCACACAGTATGATTTTAAATTATTGATATTGATATTTACACATCATTAATCACTACATCTCATCCCATTTGTATCAACAAACTAATTTGATGACATTGCAAGCGGTGATCTTACACCATTATACCGAAATAAATTGGGAAAAGTTGTGACATATCTATAAAAATTAAAAGAGGCAATTACGAATTTCCAACTTCTGAAGGGAAAGGAGGCCTTTTTGTCCACTTTGATATGAAATTGATTTCAGATTTCCACATGATTCTATTTCCAATGTCTCAAGAGACTGGAGGCTACCAAGGTCATAGGGTAATTTCCTCAATTTAAGACAATTCTCAATTTTCATCTTTTTAAGAGAAGCTCCGCTGCCCCGTAAATGGGGAACATGAGCTAACTTGTCACAAAAAAGTATATCCAAATATTCAAGGCAAGGAAATACCTGTGTTCCGCTCATTTGTGCTTCTTCCCAATTTATTAGGTTCGGCAATTCCATTATTACGAGACTTTTGAGTGACGGGAATGATTCTCTTGTCTCTTGGCCATCGTTGCTGCTATTTGTGGTACAATCACTCTCTCCATAGAATGATGAACTTATCAATGTTACGTTACCCAGATCCTGGATAAGTAGATACTTGAGGAGTGGTAGGTGGCCGAGCACTGGGATTTCTTCGCAATTGCCACAACTTATAATTTCGATCTTGATCAATTTATCAAATATCACCGGAAGGCCAGAATTGCCTTTATATATTCTCATATTTCTAGTCCATAATGGAAATTTTTTACCTCGGAATCCATCAATTGTTAAGCATTTTAGCTTTTCATGAGGTTGCAGCCCTTCAAGTACACTCTCATCATTGACGTTACTTTCTATGGAATTCGTAGACTGACTCTCATCATTGGAATCCGTTGAACAATTCCAATAAAAGCTAAAATTATAAATGTTTAGCTTTCCAGCCATATCTGCATGCTCCGCTTCTGTTTTGCAACTCACCAATTCCAGATTCTGTATTTGTAGTTTGCCCTTTAATTTCTTCAGCTTTCCCAGCTCATCGATTCGACAACCTTCCTTGTCACTCGCACAAAATAATGGTAACGTTTGAAGGCAAGATAAACTTCCGACTTTAGGAGGCATCTTGAAAACACGGCAAACCTTATCAAAACAGAGATGCCTTAGACGAATCAAGAAGCGCATATCTCTAGGAAGATTGAGAAAACTTAAGCAACGTAGAATCCTCAAAGTTTGCAAATTGTAGAGCTTGCAGATAGATTCTGGCAGAGTAGTGAGAAGATGATTTTCGGACACATAAAGATATCTCAAATGTTTCAACGTGCCAATTGATGTTGGCAATTCTTTAATATTTGCATCACATAGCTTTAGAGAATGCAAATGCTTGAAGTCTGGCAAAATTCCATCTGGTACGCTGCCTCTTAAGAACAAGGTGCGGAAATAACTTGCTCTCTCTTTTATGTCCTTGACTATTTCCTCTCCAATTGATTCCATTGCAAGGTGTCTAACTTGAAGAATGTCATCGACAGTGCGACCCTCCATGTTCATGAAACTTTCTGATTTTGAAACTAAACATGCAAGATCATGGACAAGATCGTGCATCTTGCAGCTTTTGATATTGCCATACTTGTCCTTTTCTGGCTCTTGGAAGAAGAAATTTTGCAACAAAATATTAAAATATTTATTGCCTACAGATTCCATCTCACCATTTTTATCATTCGGAAGAAATCCTTCCGCCATCCAGAGCTGGATTAAGTCTTCTCTATCCATGACTGAATCCTTGATAAATATTGAACAATAGGCAAAACATTTTTTCAGTGATGAAGAAGGTAAGCGATCATAGCTCACCTTTAAGACTTGGAACACACCCTTCTCCCCCTCTTCAAGATTTGAAAGCCCAGACTGCAGAACTGAATCCCACTCTTCTATTTCCTTTCCTTGCAAAACTCTTCCAATCACATTTGCTGCTAGAGGTAAGCCTCTACATTTGCGAGCAATCTCCGATCCTGTAATCGCAAATTGTTTTGGTACTTCTTTATCTTGAAATGCCATTGTTCTGATTATGGACCAGCAATCACCTTCTGTCAATGACCTCAAGCAACATGGATGATCGCAAGTGTTCACGATAGATACCACCTTTTCCTTGCGTGTGGTGACGATAATGAAACTTCCTTTACTGGTGCTAACTCCCGCCAATGTATTTTTGAAAGCATTCCAAACACCTTCTTCTTCATTCCATAAATCATCGAGAACAAGCATCTATCTTTTATTTTTTAATTTCTCGGCAATCTTTTGAATAACAGCTTCCATGCTATCTCCATCAGATTTTTCTTTCAATAATATTTCCAGGATCCTTTTAAAAAGCGTCATCTGATCAAAATTTTCTGATACACAAACCCAAATCGTTTTGTTGAAATGGGTTTCTGTACGATGGTGATTGTAGATCTTTCGTGCTAATGTCGTCTTGCCAAGCCCTCCCATTCCGACTATGGGAAGGACTGAAAGGACATTATTGTTCGAGCTGGTTATCGTCTCCAGAATTTCTGATTCAACAACTTCTCTTCCAATGACAATTGGATCAAAAGTGAAGCTGGTAGTGTGAATGGCCTGAGGCTGTGCCAGAGGATAAGCATTCAAATCTCTATTGAGGCCAAGTCTATCAGCTTTGTTGTTTATCTTTTCAAAGTTGGCATTTATGTCCTTGATCTTGTGAGCCATCTCCCGTTGAAATGTCAAAGTGCTCCATTTTCGTTTTTTCGTGCGCTGGGTCTCGATTGTAGGAATCAACTCTTCATATTTGATCTCGTCCAAAACATTGTCGGCATCATATGCAGCACCCTCGAGGTCCTTGAGCCAGCTTTTAACAGCATTGTCGGTGATTTCGCGCCTCTCAGCATCTTCCAAGACTTGGTTGATCCATTCCAAATATTTTTTCAGATTTGCAAATTCATCCTCGAAATCCCGCACAAGTTTGAGTTCTCCGGTGACAAATGCAAACAAATTCTCCAGCATGGATTTTACACTGTCAATAACCACAGCTTCCATTTTTTCTTGCTTTGGAAATTTGGTGGTGTGATTGATTGATTTCGGGAGGTTGAGAGAGTAAGAAAGGTGGGTACAGATTGCAAAGTGGAGTTGTATGTGGTGTAAATGATTTCCTTTTTTTTCTCTGTTTAAGAAGGGTACACAAATTGAATTATTCAATACCATCTATTATTAGAGAATGGGCCCAATTCCGATTCCAAAGCAAGAAATATGGATGAAACGCCTGTGGTTCCTGCCACTTTCCAACTTGTAGTGGAGAAGTTAGTGTAAAATTTTGATTTCTTAATACTAAATTAGGTACCATAACTTTATGAATTAGTCACAACGTCCATTTTCATTTGCATACACTAACTAATTTGGTGACATTGCAAGTGGAGATTTTAACAGTGTTCACCATAGTATCCAATTTGATTTTTAAAAAAAAGTATGATTAAAGAGCTATGAAAATAATTGTGTCCACTACTTTTGGATTTCTTAATGGGTAATATTATGAAAGTATGTTTAACGAGTTATGGAAATAATTGTGCCCCTTACTTTTAGATTTCTAAATGGGTAATAATATTTATACCACACTTAGCCATTGTTTGAGCCGCATTATTGAAATGAAAATACATTTTTAAATAATATATTGATGAGAAAAATATATGGTTAAAAAATAACAAAAAAATTTAGATTTATGTGTAATATTATTTTATTAAAAATGTGTAATTGAAATTATATTAAATCACTGTTAAAAAATATATTTTTTTTAAATAATATTGCTTAAACAGGGTCTTATCTTTAATTGTACTATATTTTAATGGTAACGACAGTTTTCAATTTTTTCGTCTCATTAACGTATCTTATCTTTGTGTGACTTGTCAATTTTCAATCCACCAATAACCACATATAAAAATTTAGACAATGTTACATGTGCATAATATTTTTATATAATCATTTACCTATTACTCACGGTAAAAAAAATAAAGATCACACTTGAGAATTTTTATATTGACGCAAAGTCCGCGCACAATGTGAGAGGGGTACAACTTTTGATGCCCTCAATGGAACTGTCCTAAAGATTTTCCACAAATATACATCATCTTTCCCCGAGAAATTGTATTGCAGATTTTCATGTCTTGTCAATTCAATCCACCAGAAATAACGTGTAAACTTCATACATTTTTAATCTTTTTAGTCAGAGTCATTTACGCGTTCAATAACTCTCAATTAAAAAGGGTTCCAATGTCTAGTAAAGAACAATTTGGTTCCAACTCAATTATTGATGCGTATTTCTCTCTCTACAATATAAGTTACTTAACCCCCGTTTGAGCCCCATTACTTGAAAATGAAAGGACTAGTATTTTTAAAAAAAATAAATAGTTGAAAAAGAAGAAAAAAATTTCGATTTACGTATAATATTATTTTATAAAAGATTGTGTGGTTGAAAATAGGAAAGAGAAAAATAGAATGTAATATAATTGAATTTAATGGGATCAAACGGAGGCTTAAATTAAAATAAAAAAAATTTATTCTTATTAATTATACCTTCTTCATTAATTATTATTCTATAATATACATTTTTTTTCAAATTAATGGAACTCAAACAGGCCTCAATACCATCTTTTAGTCAAGTCTTGTTTGCAACATTCGCCCCCAGGGCATATCTTCCAGTGGCAAAGGGGAGGGCGGATAGGGCTCAGCACGACAGTGTGCAGAGTTCGATTCCCCGCAAGGTAGAATTGACTTTGTTGCAAGCGAAAGTTACCATATAGGTTAACAGCCTTGGCCTACCCATATGCTCTCCACCCTGGCTCCTAAGAGACACATCATGCGATTTACCTCCTCCACAATAGTCCAGGACAAGATCCGTGGAGGCCTTTAAGATTGGGGTTCAACCTTTTTTTTTTTATTTGCAACATTCAATTAGAGAATGACGCAATTGTCTAGCTAAGGACAATTTGAGACGTACTTATTTATTGATAATTGAATTCTACATTTCTCTCTCCTCCACATATTTTAAGTTCCAATTCCAAAGAAAGAAAATGGATGAAATGCCACCGGTTCCTGCCACTTTCCAGCTTGTAGTGGAGAAGTTAGTCTAAAATCATTTTTTTAATACTAAATTAGTTACCCAACATTATGACTTGTGATACTTAACCCATTAATCACTACATCCATATTCATTAGAATAAAATAACGAATATGATGGCCCTTCGGGCATAGTTTAGTGGTGCAAAGAACAGGAGTGAGGTTATCTCATACCTTGTTGACAGTCGCAGTGTGAGGGTTCGATTCTTGAAATATGAAATTGGATCGGCGCAATATACATGCAACTCTTGTTCCCTGACCTACTGAAGCACATCTCGAGATTTATTTCCCTCACAAAGTTTTAGGGGCTGGACCATGGGAGCCTTCAAGATTGGGGTTAGACCTTTTTTTTTTTTTTTTTTTTAAATAATGAATCTGATGACATTGCAAGCTGACATTGGAGCGAGGCACGACCACTGTGTCAGGTTTGATTTGATTACGTCATTGTAAATGAAATCTTTCAAATTCATCCGTGAAATTTCGGTTGTTACTTGGGTCGGATCTATTTTTATTGGAACGGGATCAAATTGGATATTGATGATTTGGATTTCCAAGCAGACACTGTTTTAATTTCAACTAACTTCAATTCCTACTAAGATAATGTTCGAAAAAACTTAAATTTTAATTCAAGTAGAATTAACTTCAACTACTACCAAGTTTCTTCCAAATCAAAGCAAAAACCTATTCATTTTTACCTATAGAAAATTGCATTATTGGTCCTAGTTATTACTTCAGTTATGTTTTGGTATTCCAATTCTTCATTCAATATCAATAATGTCCACATTTTCACTAAATTATTTCATGAAGATTTAGATTTTAACAGTTAATTGAAAACTAGTTGTACAACGGTAATAAAAGATCAAGGATTTAGATCAACTTGCTAAAATGGCAATAGGTTGATGACCATAGTGCAATTTCTACTACCTATAATGAAATGTGGTAGTGGTGTCAATCACGCATCATCCACATAATGCTCTGCTCATTTCTTACCAATATTTTTTTCTCTTTACGGAAGCGATATAAAAATCCAAGTTTTTTTCTCGAAAAAATTTATGGAAGGACAAATTATTCACGGTAATTATACTTTTATTTTTTTAATAATCAGGTACTTGTACTTTAATTTTGTTCAATCGAGTAACTACATTTTGATTTTATTTTAAACGGATAAAATTGTCCGAATCGATCGCTTGAATCACGAAAAACTATAACGTGACAATAAATAAATGATGATCATTATTTATTTAATTAAACACTATACTTATTCTACATCTATAATTGTTTGTAATGACTATCATTTATTGATTGTCATGTCATCAATTTTCATAAGTAGGTTCAAATAAAACTATCTTAATTGAAGAATAGTTACTCTAATTGAAATCATATTAAAACCAAACTCCGAATGAACAAAATTAAATTGCAATGACTTGATAAACACTAGACGAAACTATAGTATCGCTAATGGAATTTATCAAATTTTATTTATTTGCTATTGTTCTTATATTATGTGATCCGAGATTTAGGTTTTTGGATAACTTTTCACATTTTCTCTTTTTCCTTATTTTCTAATTTGCAAAAGAACTTTATTGGCTCTTAATTTATTGCCATAGATTTTATGTCCCATTTGACCCAAAAAAAAAAAACAAAAAACAAAAAACAAAAAACAAAAAACAAAAAAAAAAAAAAAAAAAAAAAAAAAAAAAAAAAAAAAAAAAAAAAAAAAAAAAAAAGGAAAGAAGAAAAAAGTATGATTAAAGAGAGATAAAAATATTTGTTTCCACTACTTTTGGATTTCTAAATGGGTATTTATATTCATCCCACATTTGTCATTAATTGCTCAGTTTCGTACTCATATTCCTGAAATTTTTTTTTCTCTGTAACATATCTCATCTTTGAAGACGGTTTCTGTCCAAATATTTTATTAACTTGGGGAAAATATTTTGTTCAAATTTTATATTTATTTCCTCCCAATGAATTTTTTGGCCATTAGCATGGACAACGTCTGCTAATTAGTAAAAGGTTGAGAAGTAAAATACAATGAAAATTTTGGGAACATAACTACGAAATGAGCAAAAGCTTGGGACCTTCACTTCAATTAAAATATGGTGCAGTGTTCTAAATAGTGTAAACCATGGTTAGGTGAAAAGGCCAAGTTTTAAGATTCTACGAGTCTAAGTGGGCCAGTGTAAAAAATAAAAACGTAAAACGTAAATAAGCAACAAGACCAAGATTTTGTATATGCATACTTTTTAGAACACATGGTATATATAGCAAAAACTATAGTTCCGTAGTAAAATATCATAATGGAAAATAGTCGGCAAAATGTAGTTGTCATGTTGAATGGTAGAAGTAAAAAGTTCAAGTGGTTTTGGAATTATGTTGTAGTTCATTAAGAGTTTAATATGTTTCAATGTGTATGTTTGGTGATACACTAGTTTTTATTTCGAGTTTCATCGAATACTAAGAGGAGAACGTATTTTCATATTGTCGGTGCCATTAATGCCGCATGATCTTCTACACATGGAATAAAATAAGATATTAGAAAAAGGACACAACATTTCAAACAGTTATGTTTGGAAGAAGTCACCTTAACTAAAACCAAATCAAAGTATAGTTACCCAATTAAACAAAATTTAAGTAAAACTACCGGTAAGAAATGGTGATCGAGTTTTATTTGATTGTGTTCCATATTATATTCCACCAGCAAAGTAATTTAATAAAATGTTCAGCATAGAAAGAACTTTCTAAATACATAATAACAAATATTATACACGAAAATAAACAAAACACATATTTTAATGTTATCACAACGTCAATTTGAAAAGTATAGCTAAAAGTATAGCGATCAATCAAAAAAGTCGTCAAAGTATAGTCAACAATCATAGACACCTTACTTGCATGAACGCAAAATGGAAGTGAATTCAGTGAATAATTATGACACTTTGAGAAGTTTAGTAGTCAAAACCTAATATTTTAAAGTGTAGTGAGCAATCGAAGATATCAACTTTCTAACTAAGGACAATTTGATATCTATTTATTTATTGACAATTGAAATTATTGACTACGCGAATTGGACCCTCCACGTGGCCAACCGAAAGCTATTCCAC